GCCAAGGCTCCACCACAGGTGAAGCCAATGCAATAGGGTGGGATACCCTGGTGTCATCACACATGAGCCTTCTTACACACCAAAGGCAACTCAATGAGCCAATTCAAGTACTGATCCACACACACACAATCAACAAACATGTCCCACAAACAAAAGATCAGACAAGGTATAGCCCCAAGATGCCACTTCTACTCCCAGACGGAGGCTTCCAGAGTCGCCTCGCTCCTGAAAGAGAGTGGACCCAGAATGGCTCCCTTCCTAGAAGTGAAGGAGGCCAAGTGAAGCAGGTAGAATTTTCCATTCTGCACAAGCTGGCGTGGCTCACCCCAAGTGATACACATAAAAACACAAACAATAAATAAGCTAAGGTCACAGACAGATGATCAGAGGAGGGGTAGTCTCAAAATGCCACTTCTACTCCCAGACCGAGGCCTCCAAACAAATGGGCCCAGTTCTCAAAAGAGAATAGACCCAGAATGGCTTGCAAGGAGCCCAGAGCAGTTCACTTCCCGGTAGACATGAGCCCAGATGGAGAGGAGAGAAGTCCCAGCCTGTGCGAGCTGGAGCGCTCACCCTCAGCGACACCGACTGTGGACCGCAGCTCCAGACGCTTCTCGGCTCCAAACAGCCCGGTGCCGGGGTGGCCGGTGCAGGTCAGGGAGCGTCCCTCCCGGTTCCTCGGGGCGGAGTGAGCTCCGGCAGGTGTTGAGACCCAGGGAAGGGGCGGCTCATGGGCACAGACTCCTAGGCTGGCTTTGCCAAATTTGTTACTGTATGCCATTCACTCAAGTTCTTGTGCCCCACACACAGTGAGGCCAAAGAAACGGAAACATCAGAGTTTGGAGCAGAGAAAGGTATATGGCAGGGCCGAGCAAGGAGAACGAGTGGTTTCTGCTTCCAAAACCCTCTCACTCCTCCGAGGGTTTCCGTAAAGCATTCAGGGCCAGGTGATGGAGGGGCGTCCCAGAGTATGGAATCAGCTTGTGCTCAGTTCTCTTGACTGGTTGATGTTGAGGCAACACAGCTGTTCACATTATCAGTCTTTAGGCTCCAGAAGGTCTGGGGGCTACATGCTCATGATCATCAAGTAGTTAATTTCTTCCATTTGGTGGTGGTTTTTAGCATCGGAAAAACTCAGGAAACATGCATGAGATATTATCTGGGTGCTTCAGAGAGGAGCTACAGCAGAGGACATGGGGGAGGGGTCTGTGCCAGGAAGGCCCCCCAGGGTCCTGCTTGATTACAATGGCATATAATAATCATAATTGTTAAGGTCCTTTTCTGCTAACATCTGTGTCAGTTCTGAGGTTTGATTGATTATTCTTATTATGGGTCATATTTGCCTGCAAAGGCTTTTCTGGTAATCTTTGGTTGGATCCCGGACGTCGTAAATTTTATCTTACTAGTTGCTGGATATTTTTGTGTTCCTATAAATCTCCTGGACCTTTGTTCTGGGATACACCTGATTTTCTTAGAAATAGTTTCCTTTCAAGTGTTGCTTTTATGATGTTAGGCAGTTCCACAGAAGTGTTTAATGGAGGGCTATTTATTCCCCGTGACTGAGGCAAGATCTTCCTGAATCCTCTACGTAATGACCTGAGAATTATGAGTGAGTGTTTCCAGTCTTCCTGGTTAGATCACTGTCCCCCACCCTGTGTGAGTGCCAGGCATCGTTCCCTCTAACCGTCTTGGGTGGCTCTTGTCCCAGTCTCGGGCAGTTCCCTCACACACAGGCACTGATTGATCCTCTGCTGACTGCTTGAGGAGGACCCTCTGCAGGTCTCCAGGGGGTCATCTCTGCAGCTGTCTCCTTTCTGATACTCTGGCCTATGGACTCCAGCTGTCCTGGTCTCCGTGGACTCTCAGCTATGTCTCTTCAACTCAAGGGTTCTGCCAGGCTCTGCCTGGGTTCCCCTCCATGAGCAGTGACCTGGACAATCCCTCCAGGCAGTAAGCTGGAGAATTCACAGGGCTCGCCTCTTTTCTTTCCTATTTCTCAGGGATCACTGTCTTTCACTTCCATTGTCCATTGTTTTGAAAACTGTCGTTTCATATATTTTGTCTAGTTGTATTGCTGTTTCAGGCAAGAAAGTGAGTCTTGTCCCTGTTGCTCCGTTTTGGCTGGAAGCAGAAGTCCTCTCCATCAACTTTGTACAATTTACCATTTAGCTGTTCTTTTTCTCACTTCTCAAGATAGAGGCTTAACTCATTAATTATTCTAACTTTTTGCCTTGATATATCTGTAATCTTAGATAATAAAAGACAGAAGTATGGATTGTAAAAAAAACCCCACATAAATGGCTTTATTACTTTTAACACTGTAGAGGTCTTTAACTTCTTTAAATTAAAAAAAAATAGGGTGGCGGGTATAGCTCAGGGGTAGAGCATGTGCTTAGGAAGCATGAGATGCTGGGTTCAATTGCCAGTACCTCCATAAAGTAAGTAAATATATAAACCTAGTTCCCTGCCCCCTACCAAGAAAGGGAGGGGGAAAGTAACAGGTTTGTGAAACGCTTACAATTTTCGTGCCATCACAGCCCTCATCTTGACAAAAGTTGCCTTGATAAGTGGACAAAAGTGTATATAAACATGGGCATCTCTATATTTTAAAACCTTACTGTACCTTTAAAAATTGTACATTTTTTTTCTGTGTAGAAAGGAGACAGGAGAAAGAGCAATCTGGCAGTTAAAAAAAAAATATGGAAGGCAGAAGATAAGCCAGGAGAAGAGGGAATCAAAAAGTAGGAAAAATGAGTAGCACAGGGATGAGGTTTGCAGAAACGGCACATAACCCTCACTGTTTCTAGCTCTTCAGTTACAGTTTCCAGAAAATGCAATGCATGGCTGGTCGTGGTCCACAGTAATTCACCAGCCACCCCATTAAGCTGGCCACTGCCTGTGTTAGCTACTCTATAGAATGATTTAAAAAAAAATAGCATGTAAAAACGCTATAGAAGAAAACTTAATTGTGAGTATAGCTTTTTGGTATTGTTAAGGTTGAACAATGTCTGAAACCAGGGTTCTAAGGGATCAACCTTTTTTTTTTTCCCTCCTGTGACCATAGAAGATCCCTGTCCTAGTCTCTGAGCAGCTCTAGAATCTTGTTTCTTTCCATGCTAGAACCTAACAAAACCTTGGTTTGGGTTTTCTGTAGCAGTTACATTCGCTGAGGGACTTGTCTCTCTCCTTCCCTCAGTGAATAGGTTTCCTATGCCTAAATGGACATGGGGCCGGGTGGAGAGGACCTTTTCTCTTTCCAAAAGGAGACTGAGCTGAAGGCAGCAGATTGTATGTCCATTTGTACCACTACTGCCTCTTCCTAAGCTCCTGTCCCTGTCTCCAGCTTTCAGCCGAATCTTTCATTTTGTGACATATGAATAGGGCTCTGAGAATCTGTGAAGGTAAAATATGTGTTGTCAAAAAAAAAATCCATTTTCAAATCTATCCTGGGGACAAAACTACTTTAATAATCATTGAAATCTGTACTGTTCAAATGTTATCAAAACAACAATGTGGGGGTGGGCAGAGTGTAGCTCAGTGGTAGAGTGCATGCCTAGAATGCACAAAGTCCTGGGTTCAATCCCCAGGACCTCCCTTAAAAAATAAGTAAGTAAACTTTAAAAAAAAAAAAAGCCCAACAATGTGTATAGGACTTCAGAAATGACAAAAAGCTTCCTGATACGTTCTCTTTTGCCCTCTGTGATAACACTGCGGAATGTGGTGTTATCATTGCCATGTTGCAGATGATGGAGCTGTTGCTGAGGAGGTTAGACATTTTGCCCTTGCCCAAGGTCAGGTAGCAAATAAATAGTATCTTTCAGCCAGATCTTCTCTCTAAAGCCCCACTCTTTCTACTACTCTATTCCTTCTAACATGTGCTGAAAAGCAATTTTATTTGTTGAAAGAAAAAGAAAGTACTTTCAGCAGTCCTTCTAATGAATTTGATCACGGGTAAGCTTTGGGAAAAAAAGAGAAGCAACTTAAAAGTCCATTGACAGATGATTGGATAAAGAAGATGGGATGTGTATATATATGTATATATACATATATATATATTTATACACACACGCACACACACAATGGAATACTACTCAGCCATAAAAAAGAATGAAATAATGCCGTTTACAGCAACATGGATGGATCTAGAGATTTTCATGCTAAGTTAAGCAAGTCAGACAGGGAAAGACAAAGATCATACAATATCACTTATATGTAGAATCTGAAAAAATGACACAAATGAACTTATTTACAAAATAGGGACAGACTCACAGACAGAAAACAAGCTTGTG